TTCTTGGAGATGGGTGTTTCTGATGTGGAGAAGTGACTCCTGGAGGTGACAAAATGCTGCATTTATTATTAAAACCTTAATTTTTTTCATTCTTTGTAAAGTATTTGCTGAGGCCCAGATCATATATATATATAAATAAATAAATAAATAAATAAATAAATAAATAAATAAATAAATAAATAAGGAAAAAGAAAAAAAAAGCAATTCTTTTATATGATATAGATGAAAAAAATTATAATGGCAGAGGCTTTTTTAAACTTGAAAATTCCCATTTTCCAATTTAGATTTTTGCACATTTAATAAAAATGTTCTATACGCGGTTCTCAAGAGTTTGGGGTTTTTCTTTCCTAGCTCTGGAAAACTTCACTAATCCAGGATCCGTAGCATGTGGGTTTGATTGCTTTTTAAGGACTGTAGAGAACTAGAGGCACTGTTAAGACAGTAATACAGTCTAATAACTGGAATAGTTTAATCCCATTTGAGCCATAGATTCTGCACTGGACAAATTATTTCTGACTCTGCTTGCAATTTGCAGCAAATGAAAACTGTATTCTTAGGTTCATTGTGAAACAAATTAGAAAGGGAAAAAAAAGGTCAGATCAAGCAGAATTTACTTTGAAAGGCTGGAAGAGGCATTTGGGGCAGTGGGTTCAAAATTTGAGCTTAGGTTCACAGCCAATTTAGTACAAATCTGTAGAGCTGCAATTGCTGTTTGATCACTCCCATGGCAGGGGGAAGGAAAGAGCAAAATACATTCCCAGACTTGGTAATTGTCTAAGCAGAAGCATCCCTGGCACACACTCACTTCCTGCAGAAAGAGGCATTCTCACTTTGCCAGACAGCGAGGAAAAGGCCGTGTTGAGAATTCCTAACTTCATTATCAGCTGCCATCTATAAAAAGGTGCATACAATATTTCGTGGGATTAATGGTTCTCTGCCCTTAGTTTAGCTCGAGGAAGAGTTAGGAGTGCTTAAGAAGTTTACACCACACCTTGAGCCCAGCCATTCGGCACTAATTTAAAGCACAGTTTAATTAAAGCCTCTCCTGCCCCATTTGCCAATCAATGAGCTACAGCAAACAAGGGAAATGGAGCAAGGATTTCAGAGCTTCTGCAACGCTCATTATCAGTGGGATTTATGGTTAATATGTGAAGTCAGAGCTCCTTAATATATTGGCCAAACTAACACCCGGTTAACACTGCCCTTCTCTTTACTTCTGGTCCTTGCCTGCTAAAGAAAAAGAGGACCAGAAGAGGCAGCAGAGGTGACTTCCTACACTCTGTCTCAATACTTGTTCTGCGCTCAAGAAAAATGAAATGCTACTGAGAAAAATAGAAGATGGATATGTCTTAATTCAGTGTTAACCACTTGCCTTTGATCCCTACACCATATCAGAAAAGACCAAAAGGTGCAGCATGTTGGTGGATAAGGTGTTGATGCTTTGAGTCCATTCCCACCTTATTAAACTCAGAGAGGTTCTGCCACAGACTCGGATCATAAACTGCACATGTGGTAGCTGAGGTGGTTTAAATATTTACAGTTCTTTGGCTGCAGATGTCATTAAAATCTTAAGCTCAAGCTTTTTGTGTATGTGTTCATTACTAACGTATGAACACACTCTGCTCTTGTTACAATAAATTTCAACTTCATCTGATTTTTCTCTGTTTACTCAGAATAATCTGTTGCCATAGAAGAAGTTTTTAGAAGTCCATCCATTTGATATTAGAGTATTAAAACATCACTGGGCCGTAATTTTATGGTTATGTTATATGCACAGTTTCAGGCTTGTCACTAAAAGCTCAGAATTGCAAACTATTATAATTGCAAAGCAAATACAGAATTGCAAATGAGCAAAGAGTTTCAAAATAGAATGGTTGAAATTATAATGGTGTTGATCCACTCAGTGTCACTCAAATAACTGCTCATTTTCTTTAGAAAATTCTATTTAATTTTCAAAAGTAAAACTTTTTCCTTCCACATATATTATTTGTCCTTTACATTACGCTGAACCACCAGGATTTTTTTTAGAAAGTCAAAACATTTCTGAGTTTGTTATGATATTTGTATTATCATAAAAACGTCTGCGAATCTGGCATATAATGAGTAAAAAATAAACACAGACCATTTTCTTTTGGAGAAAAATCATGCCCTGATCCAAGCAAGCGGTAGATACCACGCTCAGCTTTCTGACAGAAGAGCATTGCCCTCACATGAAACATTTCTACATCCTTGTGCAGCGACTGACAAAGAGAACTGAGCAAAATAAAGAATTGCCGTGTTCCAACTCCTTAGCACGGGTTTGAAAAAAAAAACGAGGCAAGTATCACAACAGAGGAAGATGGAATTTGTACCTGCTGAAGACACTGCCAGTATTTTTCCCCTTTTTCCAACAGATACAGCAGTGTCCATACCTACAATACACCTGGAATTAATCAGCAGGGGACTGAGAGTGCAATAACCACCACAACTTGCACAGTGTCAGAGCCTTTCAGAGCCGACAGCATTTTTGGATTATTTGCTGCCTTCTCTCCTATAGATCACAGCACCCTAAACATCACAAATAACTTCATTAAAACCAATACCTTCTATTCAGATAGAATTTATGCTTCAGAAAGGAACCCAAGCCCTGGCAAGACAGCAAAAGCAGAATGCTTCTGCTTTATTGGGTAGTTTTCCTTTCCCCACACCCCACAATTCCACATGTTAACCACCAGCCTTAAAATGTTGTGTTCCTCTGTCTGAGACAGGTGTACTGTAACTCCTAAATACTGATCCTTAGGTAAGATCAACTAAAGAGTTTTTTACTGCCTGACATTAGTTCTCTTTCACACTCCCAAGGAAGTCAACTCTCATTTACTAATTTTGCAATGACAGATATTAAGATGCTCAAGCCTTTCTTTCTGTGTTGTCTCCAGCTTTTTATAAATCATGTTTAGAAGTGGTCTCCTGAAAGGCAGGAACAGGGCACTGCTGCAGGAGTGTCAGCAGCGCTGTACTGGGAGTCAGTGGTGAAAAAGTCACCTTTCTCCAGTTACTCCCAAGCTTTGAGCTTCAGTAGCTGTTCCAGAGCTTGTTTGCTTTCCAGAACTCTCTTTTGCTCTGCAGGTGTGGCCTTCACCCCTTTTATGTTCCCAGAGATGACAAACGTGCTGCGAGATGAATGATGGAAATGTGGAGCAGCACCAGGCACAACCTCTCTCCCTTTGGAACTCAGCAATGTTTTGCCATTGACGTGGACTTTATGAAGTCTGGCAAACAGCTAATTCTTAATTTATTTAACATAAGCCTTAATTACACTGTTTTGTAGTATTTTATTAGTGAAATGCCATCTGATACTGCCGATACCTTTATGAAATCTAATTCTATTATTTCATGCAGGTAACTTTATTAAGCAGGTACAGAATAATTTCAAAGTTTTTCTGTTATTGATCACGCTCCTATGCTTAGGTCTTTTTAAATTCAATTTCTCGTGAGGCTTTTCACTCTTCTGTTTAGAATAGATGCAACAGAACCAATCTATAAGTAGCTGGTTTCATCCTACTGACTCCCTTATTTCTGCAGTTCCTAAGCTTTTACTTTGTTACAACTCACATTAAAATTTAATGCCAGCTGATGGAGATTTCCCTCAGCTTTTTAGAAATCTGGGATGAATTCTATTAAAATTAAACATGTGAAACACAGCTCCTCTGGGGTGGAAAGTTTAGCAGCACCTTGATGAAATGCAACTACATACTCCTCCTTTTTGAATGCATTTGCATACAGTCCTTTGAATGCCTCTATCTTTCTTTTTTTATTAACCTTTTTTCTCTCCCAACAGCAGGTCAGGAAAGGCAACCCTTTCTGAAACCACTGTGCTGGCAGCCATTGAAAAATACTGAATACGCTGGTGTCACATCAGAATTTTCCATCTTTCTCCCAAAGTCTTCTTCCTGCCATTCTTACCGTCTAACACAGCAGTGGGTGGGGTTGTTCTACCAGACAAGTTTGACTTTCTTGGACTTGGTTAATTTTGGGATTACCTAAATTAGTGGACGAGATTATTTTAATGATATTTGTTGTTTTACACTATAGTTTCACTGGGTCAAAACATTTCAGAGTAAACAACTTGAAAAAAAAAATAAAATCAAATTTATTATGTGCCTATCCTTAAAATAATTTTCCTTTGTTAACAAACCAAAAAGAAAAAGCTGACAACATCCAACAGACTGAGAAACAACATCCAACACTGAGAAAGAGCAGCTAAGCACTGCAGCCATACTTTATAGCATTTTTAATAGCTAACTGTGGATTCAGCACCCCTAAAATATTATCATTCTGGAGCCAAGCAATATGATGCCATTAAAATTCTTTATTCATTTATTTGAAGTTGTTTCACTGACTTATTCCATTGCCATCTAAGCCATTACAATATCAATTGCGGTGTCTCCACGTTATGATGTTATGGTAATTGCAGCCTCATACATTTCAATTTTTTTATGCTAATTCTGGGTGCTTCACACAGCCCCTCTTCTGATGTTAACTGCACTGCCTCAGACACTTTGACTCACACAGTAACCATCCTAGGGATACATAACTGCAGTTTATTGGCAAGAACCTGGGCCTAGGCCTGCTATTTACATCAAAATTAATTCAAAATCGTGTTAGTTAAATGAAAAAAAATATTCAGCATATTGACAGTAATTCCACTCCAAAGCATTTGAATTACAAGTCTATTGTAAAGGGGGGCAGGGGGGAAACCACATTCCAGATCTTCAGCTACAGCATATTAAAAAAAAAAAATTAAATTGGATATATTTTTCAGACTTCTCTAAGTTTTGTAAAATATTTCACTAGAAATATGCCCTTAGGATTGCAAGTACACAGAAGAAATATTTTCATCACATTTCCTGCCTTTATACCGTATGAAAGACCTGAATTTTTCGAAATGTTTAAGGTTAAGTTGAGCCACAAGTAGCCCAGGATACATTCACAGACCATGGAACCTGTTAGGCTCTGCTTACCTGAACCGAGGAAGAGGCAAAATCCCTGGTATTGTGTCCTTCTGCATCTCAGCCACGTTGGGGCAGGAACAGCCTTTTGTGCACTAAGAGGGAGGGAAAAAAACCTGTCAATAAGTGGCCACTGATGAGCATAAAAGAGAAAACCATAATTCAGCGGAATGAGGTAAGTATAGAAGAAGAACCCTGTAATCCCCCTGTCTAGCCCGAGTCAAAATTTTGGTGCTCTTTTCGCATACCCACCATCAATATTTAGCAAAGACAGATCAATAAAAACGAGGGTCAAACGTTCACTTTCACAATAATAATCAATAATCACATTATTGACCTAGAAATACAATTAAAAAAAATTAAATGCAAGGAACTCTTAGTGCATCACTCTTTAATTTTAATTAAAGTGCTACTGCTATGCTCCTCCAATGTCGTTTATCTGAATTGTCAGCTATTTTTACAGAAATGCAGAAAAAATATGATCCATTTGTAGGTTTATCTGGAGTTTAAAGGCATAATTTCTTTTGGTAGCAGAGAAATAACTAAGGTTAAAAAAACCAAAAGCAGCTACATGAAAAAGCTCTATTGTTCCAATAGATTGTTTTATAGGTTTTCTGAAAGGGTCTGATCAATCTCTTTCTGCCTTGTCCTCTGTAAATGGAAACAAATCCTAATAAGAAAATATTAGACATGAAATAAATTAATTTGTATCTTTACTATGATGACTATTTTTACCTGACAGTTACCTTCCTATGGCTTTTCTACCTGTTCTATTTTAGCCATATTTGCTAATTTTTTGTGCTCTGCCAAATATGTCCCCAGACAAGAATAAAACAGATCAGGAATCTACAGTCTATTTAGGAGATACAGGTGGGAAATATTTACAATTATCTAAATCAGAAATTGTTTTCATTAGTCATTCAGTCCAGAGAGAGCTCCTGAATAACAGCATGACCAGATTATTACTACATGACTTTATATCTAAGTATATTGGCAGTTATTCAAACTAATTCCTTAATAGTTTTTTTGCTCCTGTCTTTGAATTCAGACACCAAAGGTCTATTTAAGAAATATGGGGGGAAAAGTCTCTTTCAATAGTGAAAACTCTTAGTATCTCCTGCAGACAACCACACAATTTTCTTTTTCCTATTACCATGTCCTTTTCCAGCAAGGACAGGAAAATTACATCCTCCAGGTTTTTCTGCTGCAGTGCTCTCTGGAGGATACCTGAAAATGGATACCTATTTCCATTACACTCTCTACACAGAATTTTGCCCACCTGGCTGTTTTTCATGCCCTCATTATTCAGCAACCCCAGGAGCAGGCCAGGGGGCCCAGCATCGCAAACTGCACCAAGGAGTTTTGCAGGAGCAGAAAGCTGCTCTGGGCAAGCTGCACTCCTGCTTTTGCCTTTACACAACCCTGCTTCCTCCCCTTCTCTGTTCCCTGTTAAGGGGGAGGCCTGGCATTCATCAGGTTTCTCAGCTGGGCCCCATAAATTGGCCACCTGTTTTCAGGGGCAATGCTTCCCTCTCTGCATCAGCGTAAAATGAGGGGTTTTTTAATAGTCCTGAGTACTTGCAGTGGCTGAACCAACTTGTCCTTAGGTAAATTCGGCTAATAAAGCAGTTTAGTAGTTCAGCAAGTTCATTATCTGAATATATTTAAACCAATCTGAATAGGAACACAAGCCCAGACTTCTTCCCCTTTCTCTCTTTGTAATCACAAAGTCATTTATCCCTTGCTGACCAGACAACTAGGAATTTTTCCTCCCTACTAATACACCTATTTTCTGGCAGTTCCCTGAAATGGAGCACTTCTAATCAATTTCTGTTAATTTGATAAATACAATCAAATCAATCAAGCACTAAAAAAGAAAAAAAAAATGACAAAATGCATCACTCTAAGTGTGGGGCCTTAAAAGCTCATTTAGTCTGGGCACTGTGCCCACCACTGAACTGCTGAAGAGGGAATCGATTCCACGCACCTCAGTGATGCTTTTTTCTCTAGAAAAAGCCTTTATGTGAGATCATATGTTGTGAAATAGTCACAACTCTGTTCTGAATGATGCAATTAGAACCTTAGTGCTATTTCTTTTAAGTGCTCCTAGTTCTGCATTACCTATATTTTCAGCTTAATTCTAATTCAAAACACTAATACAGATTCTGAGTGTTGAATATTATTAACTCAACGGTCTTCCTGTGCTCCAAGATGCTCAAGCTGGAGTAAGGATGAAAAGATTAAATGATTAATTGGAAACACCAATGGCAGATAATGGCATAGGGGTTCAAATTTCCTAATTACATCTATTGCCAGTATGTTTAGGACATAAGAAGATGGGAACTAATCATGTCAGACATGCTATCCACCCAGAGGTTTGGGGTTTGTTTTATTGTTGTGCCTGATCTTCGAAGCTATTAATAAACTCAGGGTAATTACCCCATTCAGAGGTACATATCAGACATGTTTGCAGACATAACAAGGTGAATCACCAGGAAGTTCGGGAGAGGAAACCCTGCTACCGACAGATCCAGTCCCACGCTGAGTCAACTATGGGAAAGTAATTGGTTTTCCAAGGACAGGAGGTGGCATCCAGTCTAATCAAGAGACACCAGCATCTCCAGGGAAGAGGAAAAGGTGGTTTGAGAAAAGGCAGCTGACGAGACTACCGTGTGAACACATAAAACAAGCCTGGAAGCAGAACATTAAGCTTGCTCCTACCTAGAGAAGGACTTCTGGAAGGAGATTAGCTGTGAAAGGGCTCGTCTCCGGTGTGTACCCACGGCGTGCAGACAGATCCAGCGTCTCGGGGGACTCATGTCAGCAAGTTACACGGATAGCAGCCCCTCCAGCCTAATCTTTGTGTAAGCTGATTAAATGAGGTTGTTCTTTCATCTCTTCTCATGTCCTCTAGAAAAATCTGTAACGATGTTGGCTGTTTTGGAAGCAGTAAATAGACGCCCTCATTTGCATCACAATGCAGCTTGAGTTGGGAGCAATCACAATGTGAATTGATGGCAGAATGTGTCGCCCTGAAGGAACGCTGAACCCATAAATCGGGGCGCTGCAACAACGTACCAGGGGCTCAGGTCTCCAGCAAGAGGGAAGGTGACAGCATGGGGTCCTCCAAAGCTTTGGGGCTGGGAGGAAAGTGGATACCCGAGAGCTCAGGAGGGAAAGGAGCAACGAGCACAAATCAGGAACACGCTGGCGTTCCACAAAATAGGCACTGAGGACTCCCTGGGAGTTTGTCATATCAGTTCATGCCTTAACCCCAAAATTATCGTTCCTGTTACGACTTTGAACCCCAAGTTTCTCACCTCCTACACGACACAGTGACCTCACAGCTCCATGGCACGGCACAGGGGACAATTCCAGTTCTGCCCTGGGTAAACAGGAAGGACTAAACAGGGCGTGTTAAACACCAGTGAACAGTGTTATGCTGATAAATGATTTATTACTCAGGGTTTACCTGGACATCTTTTGAGGACGCTTTTCTGAGGCGTGCAGTCACAAATAAAGGGGGGTGATGCTCAGAGGATTCTTTGCAGGCTGAAAATGTGAAAGGGTAGCAATAAGGAAGGTGCGAAACGGAGAAAACAGGTGATCGGTAGGGATGCAGTGAAAGATCTTTGCAACAGCTTTCCAATTAGCAATGCAAAAGTTGATCTGAACTTCTGGTTCAAATTCCATATATAACTCCTCTGATCTCCTACAACTGCAGTGAAAGCCCAGTCTCATGTAGAGCCAGAGAGGATTATGAAATTATGCAAATAAATAAAATAAGACAGCAAATAAAAAAATATATCTGACACCTTTCTAGAGGTTGGCAGTAGTTATCTACTGCAATTAATTTAGATGGTTTCTTTTGAAAATATGTCAGTTGGGATGACTTTGTAGCTCAGCATTTTAGGCAATCCGTGAGAAAAAAATGTTCTAAACATAAATTGCATTCTTTAGAGAATGTATTAACATTCACTCTATTGCTATTGACTGTAGATTAAGTTATCCAGGGTAGTGATATTTCATCTAAAAAAAAAGGAAAGTACCACAGGAAAAGCTGTGAGAAACAGAAAACAATAAAATACTTATATATAATTCACTCAGATCTCAAGAACAATGTCTTCTGAAAACACACCTTTTACTTTACTGCTTGAATTTCAGCATAAAAGAATAACAATTCCTTGCTAAAATTTTAAATGAAAAAACAGGAAAGGCATGAAGAACTTTTGCTAGTTGAAATTATTCATCAAGAATGGAGAAACCAATATTCTGTGGGAAAACTTCATTGCAACCTGGAAGAGGTACAAAGCTTTCATACAAAATTCTTTGAGGCAGAACTGAACAAGAAATCTTTTTGATCTCATTTTTTGCTGTCTAGTGTATCCATTCTAAGTGTTAAAAAGTTCAAATATTACTATATTAGTAATAGATTATTTATATGCATTAATGAATTTGTAGAGGTCCTTAGCTGACCTGAAGGATGCTCATTTTTCCCAATGAAAGCATATTCTTAAGGATACAACTGAATGATCTAAGTATGGGAAATAACATCCAATATTAAGGAAGTATCAGCAAAACGGATCTCTCTCCTTAGTTAACTTAAGATTTTGTCCTTTCTCAAGAGGAACAATAGACATTAAAAAAAAAAAGCAGCAGATGGGGAAAACCTCAACTGATCCTGTTAAAGAAACTGTTCTGGTCAGTCTCAAGGCAACAGGAGAAAGGGAAGTAACACAAGCATAAATTAAATATAGATATAAAGTCTTCTCTGTCAGAGGTGTGCTATAAATTTAGTTCGAGGTAGCCTTGGGGAAATCAACTTTTTGTCAGTCAATACTGGAGAGTTTGGGAACTCCATTTGATCATGATGCAGTTAGAGGAGCTGAAATCATCATCTACCCTTTAAACTGTCAGGGAAGCACAGTTAATCATCTGCTTAGTGCTACCAAGGGCCCAGGCCTTCACCAGCAGCTACTCAAGCAGAGCATTTCACAAAAAAACAGGAGGTCAGCCCCGTGGAAGGCACTGCAGAAAGAACCAGCTCCGTGCCTGACTTGGCAGATCTCGCACGAGATGAAAAAACTCTCCTAAAATTGGAAGGGAAGCTTTCAAAGAAAAGCCCTGCTGGTTTTGATTTTCAGAGCTTTCTTTGGAGACTCGTTACCTGAACAGCATTTCTTTATCATCGTCGCAGAATGACAAACTGAGTTTTCTCAGCTAAGCCTTCCACAGCAATAACACACCGAACAAGCAGGTTCCAGGAATTCTTTCTGATTTCTCTCACATTTCCACAGTTCTAGATGCCCACATTGGACTTAAAATGAGAAATAACTAGCCCTGGTAAGTCAGATGGACATATATTTATAGGGAGTGAGCACCATGAGTTAAGAAAATGAGAAAGTGGCAAAGAGAGAAGGTGTTGATCAAAGACCACACGTGGTTATGTGCAAGAAAGACAGAAATTAAAAATTAGCTCTAAGTATAAAGTTAGGTGAAAAAGTTTTTATGTATAGGTAATATTTCACAGATACCATTGAAATAATCACAGTAACATGACAGCCATGCTGGGTAGAGAATATACTAAATGAAAAATACTTGGTAGCAATTACCAAATGATCACATCCCTCTCATTTCAAATAGATTGGTTTGATACTGTAAGTATTTTTATTCTCCCTATTTGTCTGGTATTTGACAAGCCAGTGCTCAGATGTCCAGGAACCAGAGATTTTATTTTTTTTTTATTTTTCTAAATGATCTGAATTTTTCAGGTTCAGGAACTATAAATAACTGTCAAAATTCAAATATAGCCTTTTATTCTTTACATCCATTGCCATCACCTCTCCCAAGATTTAAAACAGCTGAAGTTACTGATCAAACCATTTTACAAACACTGTTTTGCTTCCATTACTGAATGAAGTTTACATACAATTCCTTTGCAGTTCTCCCCCCTCCAGGCTTTCACATCAAGCGTGTTTCATATCTATTTTGAAATAGTCAAAATTACCACATTCAAAATCTTCTTTTTCAGCCTCGCTGTGTGTGAGAAACACTTGATAAACATCTTGAGGGAGGTCTGAGCAGTAACACCGATTTTGAACTCGGCTCACAGAGTAAGAACACAAGACTGGAATGCCAGGACCTTATGACAATTCTCCATTCTCAATCTCTCTTATGCAGAATAAGGACAGAGGAAAATTTTAAGAGTGCATTTGGGAAGATAATTCTCGGCTACATTAATTCAAAGTTTGCTCAATTTTAATTACAGCATTTGAAATGAGATAACACAGCACCATAGAGAGGAACTCTAGCAATGTGCCAAATGTTTTTATAATTCACCACAATATCCTTACATCCTGCTGTTCAGCTTACAGTGATTTTTCGTTTGCCAGCCTGTAATACCACTCTAATCACCCACTATATTTGAATTTTTCCCCTAAGAATTATATATTTGATATTATTAGCACTCTGGTACAGAACTGCAATAATGGTTCCATTCCTTTAATTTAATTTTCTAGCTAGGAAAAAGGTATTTGAACGTGAAAAACCTTACAATAAATTCAGAGAATTGGAAGTTCAGAATTAAAACCTCTACCATGGCAAAACCTGAAAGCCTTACATGAGAATTATTTGTGGGTCTTCCTCAGCAGAGCCCCAGCAGGGCACCAGCTGACTTTTTGGAAATGTCTTTGAGAGAGGCAGCTCTGAGGAGCCTCCAGCACTCTGGCACATGCTCACGGTGATCTATACAACCGTGAGACAAAGGGCAAGAGAGAAATCTGTTAAAAATTAGAAAAAAATGTAAAAATAAAGCTAAGGAAAGGCCTGTTCTCTCTTAGTTTCCAAACTGCTCAGAGGAGAAATAGGGAGGAGGTCCTTGGAGCAGAGGACGAGTGAAAAGCCTGGTATCATTTATCATTTCAAGCCTGAGAAATGCCTTTCATATTTATAGAGCCTTGAGGAATGATGGATCTTATCTTTTTCCTGGTACTGCCACGAGGAGGCAGGCTCAAAAGTCGTGCTTCACATGCAAAAGTTTCACATCGGTTTCACTGATTTAGATGGAATTTTAAGTTTGGAAATGTTGCCTTGTTAAAGGACCGTACTTAAAAGCGAACTAAAAGAACAGAGATTTGTATAGTTCTGGGTGAAAATTAACACGTTTGACAAATTTCATGAGACAGAAATCTGGAAAATAAATATAAAGGAAAGACATCCGTGCCCTTCTAATGGTGTGGCTCTACTATTGCCCAGTTTGCATTATAGCCTGCGTTGAAGTCCTGCAGCACAAAACCATGTTTTATTACTTTACCAGTTGGACTTGAGGCTGCTGAATTCACTCCCCCTGAAAAGCTCTTTGGGCTGCTTCATCAGTTTGAATCACTGCTTGGAGATATTATGTGAGATATGATGCACTGCACATTGTTTCTGGAAGATGAACTATCTCTTAAGTTCCTTGCAAGATTTTCTCTCTTTTTAGTACCACAGTTTGCTTTAGATTCCTGAGATTACTGTCTCGGGCCTGGAAACAGAAATTACCCGTCTTTATTCCTGAACTGGCAGTGTTTCTCTAAACCTTCTAAAATCAATGTAAAGACTCAATCTAAAAGGATGTTGTATTAATGCCTGACACTCACTAAGCTCATTACACTACTGATACATAAAGCAGCAAAAGGCTTAGACCTTGTTTCTTCTGTTTTTCTTTATTAGTTATTCTTATTTGTTCCACAGATTTTCATGTAGTCTAAAATACAGCTTGGAGAGATACTTTTCATATCTGGTGAAGTTTTTCTTATTATCTTCAGCCTTAAGTCATCACCACTGATGTCACTACAAGAGTCACTTAACTACAAGCCCTGGATTTGTTCCCTAATTACCAAAGGCCCTTAGTTCAGTTGCATCATTTTATTTAAAAGGCTCCATTCACTTAACATGTGCTGCCAAATCCAGCTGGCCCCAGTTCTTTAAAATAAAGGTTATTTGTCTGAAATGCACCTTCTTCATTTATTATTACTCAAGGTGCTTGAGAACAGGTTAAATATTTACTTTTAATAACAAGAATTGCCAGCCATATTAAAATACTCTCGAGAAGTCATTCAAAGGATCGTTTCGCTTGAAAAGAAATATTGAAAATGTGTTTCTGTGGCAGTATAGCAAGGACACATTTTCAAATTAATAGCACTAAAGGCACATTTAGCTACAACACCTGACATTCATTAGGACACGCACTGAACGACACAACGTTTTCCGCTCGAACAAATAACTTGTTGCATCTGCTCGTATTTTTAAAACACTTGAGCAACCTTATGTTACATAAATATAGCTCTCAGCTAGTTCTCTTTTTTTCAGGATAACGTGTAAATGTATTTTCTCATTAAACTAATGAAGGCAGCACTCCAGTGTATTTGAAGGATTGCCAAAATGCCAATAGCGGCGTTGAAACAAAATCATCTGTCAATAGCAGGAGACAAGGGCACGGCTGTTATTAGTGATGATAAATTGGTACAAAGTCCTTCAGCTACACCCAAAATCCTGGGAAAGACTCACTGCAG